TATATACTGCACATAATTAGTTAGTTATTGCCAGTTGTAAAGTGTTATTTATGGAGCGTTCAACAATCTGACAGCTTGTGGATACTAATTGTCCTTTAGTCTTTTTGTACACTATGACATACTCCTGTATCGTCTGCCAGAGGGTAGTAGATGGAAGAATCCTTGTGCTGGGTGGGTGTGATCCTTAATGATGCTGTGTGCTGCCTTTACGTAGGCATCGGCTGTGGTAGATTTCCTGGATGGTGTGGAGACTGCTACCAGTGATGTCCTCTGCTGTTTGCACCACCCTCTGTAGTGCTTTTCAGCTCTGACTGGTTCCCGTACCGCCCTGTGATGCAGCCTGCCAACAGGCTCTCAATGGTGCACCTATAAAAGTTGGTGAGGATGCTGGTGTTTGGACCAGACTTCTTTAGTCTTCTTAGGAAGTAGAGTCTTTGTTTGGCTTTCTTGACCACAGTGTCTGTATGTAAATTCCAGGACAAATCCTCGGTAATGTGAACGCTGAGGAACTTGAAGCTGCTGGCCTGCTCCACCTCAGCGTTGTTTATGTTGATGGTGGAGTGCTGGCCTCCAATTGTTTCCTGAAGTCCACTATCATCTCCTTTGTTTTGCTGACATTTTGAGAGAGGTTATTTTCCTGACACCAGCTTGTCAGTGAGTTCACCTTGTCTCTGTAGGCACTCTCGTCATTGTTGGTGATGAGGCCCAGTATGGTGGTGCCATCAGTGTACTTGAGGATGATGTTAGAGCTGTGCTTGGTGATACATCCATCCATCTTTTACCCGCTTCTTCCATTTTGGGTCACGGAGGTTGCCGGTGCCCATGTCCAGCAATCATTGTGCGAGGGGCGGGTACACCCTGGACAGGTCGCAAGTCCATCATAGGGCCTTGGTGGTACAATTGTGTTTAAATATTGAGTACAGGAGTGGACTGAGGACACAGCCCTGAGGTGTACCGATGCTGAGGACTAGTGTGGAGGAAAGGTGACAGCCGATTCTCACTGCCTGTGGTCTATTGGTGAGGAAGTTCAGTATCCAGCAGCAGATAGACTTCTCCAGGCCCAATGTGGTGAGCTTGGATACCAGTTTGGAAGGGATTATGGTGTTGAATGCTGAGCTGTAGTCAATGAAGAGCATTCTCACGTACCTACCATCTGGAGAAGGTAAACACCTGTTTACCTTCTCCAGATGGCTGAGGGAGGTGTGAACTACTAAAGCAATGGCATCATCTGTAGACCTGTTTGCTCTGTATGTGAACTGTAGGGGGTCCAGGGTGTCAGGGAGGGAGACACAGATGTAAGTTTTGATAATTTGCTCAAAGCACTTCATGATGACAGATATGAGTGCTATGGGCCGAAAGTCATTAAGGCAGGATGCTGCAGTGGTCTTTGGGATGGGGACAACAGTTGAGGTCTTGAAGATTGTGGGCACAATATACTGACTCAGAGACAGGTTAAAGATGTTGGTAAACACCTTGGTGAGTTGATCAGCACACACTCTCAGCACCTGTTCTGGGATGCTATCAGGTCCTGGTGCCTTGTGAGGGTTTACCTTCTTAAACGCCCGTCTCACTGTACCATACCGTACCATACCATACCATACCATACCATACCATACCATACCATATCACTTTATTTATAAAGCACTTAAAACAGCAACAAGGACAACCAAAGTGCTGTACAGACAAAACAACAGGTAACACACAAAGCAAAATACAAAATGAGGTAAATCAGAATATAGACCAAAAACGATGCAGATAATGACGACAAACCAGTGTGGAGCATAAAGGATCAAAACACAGATCATCTTGTGTTGAAAGCTATTGAATAGTAGTGAGTTTTTAAACGGGACTTGAAAACAGAGAGGGAGGGGGCCTGTCTGACAAGCAGAGGTAACTCGTTCCAGAGTCTTAGTCCTGCTACAGAGAAGGCCCTGTCACCTCTGCGCTTAAGACAAGTTCCTAGAACTGTGAGGAGCAACTGGTCCGCTGACCTCAGGGAGCGTGGTGGGACATACGGTTGTAGCAAATCAGAGAGATGGGGGGGGGGGGGTGACACTGTTCAGTTATTTGTAGACATACATGAGTACTTTGAATACTTTGAACTGGATTCGAAAGTGAACCGGTAACCGGTGCAGTGTACTGTGCACTGTAGCAATGTCTAAGCAGAGTGTGGCATCCTCACTGTCTACATGTGGTCTGGTGGCACGTGTGGTGTTGTTTGCATCAAATTGGGCATAGAAGGTGTTGAGCTCGTCCAGAAAAGATGCGCTGGTCAGCTCCACAGACGTGTTTTTCCTCTTGTGGTCTAAGTGGAAATGCCTGAGCAAAATGACAAGTGGAAACATGTGAGAGTAAATGGTAAATAGACTGTACTTATATAGTGCCTTTCTATCTTATTTCAAGATACTCAAAGCACTTTACACTACAATCTGTGCCTCATTTACCCATTCATACAGCACTCTACTAGATCTCTACAAAGCTAATTGGACAAACCATTCTAAAGAGACTAATTAGTGCTTTAGATCACATTCATACACTGATGGGACACACATCAGTGTAGGATCCCTGGTTTCTCCCTGGCCTATCTACACTCACTCTCTCCACAGCTCATCTCTAATTACCCTGATGAGATCCACCTGCTGTTTTCCTAAGGAGGACTGATTGTGGTTGCCTACTTAAGCTGCGGCCAGACATCTCTCCAGTGCTGGGATAACTTCTGCCTATGGGTAAACTAGTGTCCAGTCACTAACCTGTTCCTTTACAGCCGATTCTGATCGACGACTTTCCTCTCCAGAACCTCCATGTCCTGCTCCTCTGAATTCCTTCCACGGGCCTCGTCCAGCACTCCACGGTGCACCTACAAAAGCAGCAGAGTCCGGTCTCATCAGCGATTAAACAAATTACTGGGTCTACCTGTTCCTCTCTCCACCGTGTCTCACCTATTCATCTCCATCGAAACCAGGACCTCACCTCTCCCTCGGCGCCTTCCCCTAAAACAACAAGTAAGACGACTTTGTTCATCTCAAGAATCTGTCAACAATATTGGATACTCACCTCTCCACCATTCTCTTCCAGCTCGTCTCTCCAACTCACCTGTAAATAAAGAACACTTATTTTGTATACCTGGTTGTCGTGTCTTCTTCCTCGGTCTGCCACTTCGGGGTTCTACATACGATAACATGATAGATTGTCCCAGCCAAACTGACCCCTCTGGCACGACTGGGGAGGACCCACTTCAACCAGGAAGTAGTCATAAAGGAGCTTCACAGATTCTAGCTCTACAGCACATTCTGAAACAACAAGAAACTATTCAAGAAAATCTCCTAGAATTGGGTAATATGGTTTTTTCTCTTCAACAAGGACAAACGATAACCCATCTCTCCTTCTTGAACAGCCCACAACCATGGACCCTACAGCAAACCGGCATGGTCAACATATCAGAGAACCTGACATCAAGCCTTCAGAGTTTTTTGAGGGTGACACAAGGAAGTGTGGTGATTTTCTGCTTCAATGCAATCTGGCATTCAGCCGTGCTCCTGGCAACTTACTCTTCTGACTCTTCATGTGTGTCATATATTGTTGCCTCTCTGAAAGGTCCAGCACTCCAGTGGGCCAACGCCTACCTCCACCGATGTCCTGTCGAGGCCTTGCTGTTTACTGACTTCATCAGATACTTTCTCAATGTCTTAGATTATCCTTTGCTGCAGGAGGAGGCCGCCCCAAAACTATTTTCAATCTGGCAGGGGGAAGAGACGGTGGCCAAGTTTTCCGTTCACTTCCATATCATACGATTGTGCCATCAAACTGTTACCCGGAGCTCCGCTACCCACTAGCCAGCTGTATAATATCTCTGGTCCTGAAAGAGTAACAATGAAGGAGTACATCGAGGCTTCTTTAAAGAGTGGAATCATCTGTCCGTCCACATCTTCCGTGGGTACCGGTTTCTTCTTCGTGGCCAAGAAAGATAAGTCTCTACGGCCATGTATAGACTATCGAGGGCTCAATCAGATCACAATTAAAAACAAGTACCCTCTCCCACTTATTGACTCGGTCTATGAGCAACTTCAGGAGGACACAGTATTTTTCAAACTAGATCTCAGAAATGCGTACCACCTTGTACGCATACGCCAGGGAGATGAATGGAAAACCACCTTCAAGACTCCTATGGGCCACTTCGAATAACTGGTCATGCCTTTTGGCTTAAACAACGCCCCTGCCATATTTCAGACTCTGATGAATGATGTGCTTCGGGACTTTCTTGGGGTGTTCATCTTTGTCTACCTAGATGATATTCTGATTTATTCCAAGAATCAGGAGCAACATACTCATCATGTGAAATCTGTCTTACAGCGACTACTAGAGGACCGTCAGTATGTCAAGACAGAAAAATGTGAATTTCACGTCTCTACAGTTTCCTTCCTGGGGTTCATATTTGAGAGAGGACAGGTAAGGTCAGACCCAGAGAAGATAAAAGCTGTAGTGGACTGGCCCACTCCCATAACACGCAAGCAGCTCCAACGCTTCCTGGGGTTTTCTAACTTTTACCGGCGCTTTATTAGAAACTATAGTAAAGTTGCTACCCCTCTAACCCGATTAACGTCCTCCCTCAGGAAGTTTAGTTGGCCTCCAGAGGCAGAGAAGGCCTTCACTGATCTCAAGACTCTGTTTTTAATGGCTCCCATTCTGTCTCACCCAGATGTCAACGGACAGTTTGTCGTGGAGGTGGACGCCTCTGAATCTGGGGTGAGGGCCGTTCTCTCTCAGAGGTCAGTGGAGAATAACAAGCTTCATCCCTGCGCCTTTTTCTCTCGACGCCTCTCCCCAGTCGAGAGCAACTATGATGTTGGGGATACGGAGCTTTTGGCCACAAAGATGGCATTGGAAGAGTGGCACCACTGGTTGGAGGGAGATGAGTCTCCGTTTATTGTCCTCACTGACCATAAGAATCTGGCGTATCTACAGAATGCAAAGAGACTCAATGCTCGGCAAGCACGATGGTCACTATTTTTTGCCAGGTTTCATTTCTCCGTCTCATACATTCCAGGGTCACGTAAAGTGAAACTGGATGCCCTCTCACGGCAGTTCACCATGGCTGAAGAACTCGATACTCCCGCCAACATCCTTCCTCCATCCTGCACAGCGGGCGTCATGACGTGGGAGATCGACAAGGTGATTCGGGAGGCACAGCAGACTGAACCAGACTCGGGTACTGGCCCAGGGATAAGAGATTCATCCCTTCCTCCGCCATCAGTAAGATACTTAACTGGATTCACTCTGCAAAGTTTACTTGTCACCCAGGTATCCGCCGCATGCTGCATCTCGCCAAATCTCACTTTTGGTGGCCCACTCTGGATAAGGATGTCAGGGACTTCGTCGCAGCTTGTCCTACCTGTGCACAAAGCAAACACAGCAATCAACCCCCGGTGGGGCTGTTGTTACCCCTTCCCATCCCCAGCCGCCCCTGGTCCCACATCGCCCTCGACTTTGTTACCGGCCTACCCATCTCCGATGGTAACACCACCATATGCACAAATATTGATCGTTTTTCCAAGTTTGCCCATTTCATCCCTCTTCCTAAGCTCCCCTCTGCTATGGAAACAGCCCAACTGGTAACTGTACACATTTTTCACCTTCACGGCATCCCTGTGGACATTGTTTCAGATACCATACCATACCATACCAACTTTATTTATAAAGCACCTTAAAACAACCATAGCTGACACAAAGTGCTGTACATTAAAACACAACACAATAAAAATGAAAATAAAAACAGTTTAAAAACAGAAAACATACAATTTAAAAATAGATCCTGCTGGTGTTAAAAACATACATTTTAAAAGCATACAAAATTTAAAAACTAGATCCCGCTGGTGTTAAAAGCCAAGTAGAATAAATGAGTTTTAAGACGAACTTTAAAAATGGACAGTGAAGGGGACTCTCTGACCTGCAAAGGCAAGTCGTTCCATAACTTAGGGCCCATGACAGAGAAAGCCCTGTCCCCTCTGAGCTTCCTTCTTGTTCTTGGTACCTCCAAGAGCAGCTGATCTGCTGACCTGAGAGACCGATAGGGTATGTAGGGATGAAGAAGCTCAGAGAGGTAAGCCGGGGCAAGATTATGCAGTGATTTAAAAACAAACATGAGAATTTTAAAATGAATCCTAAAATATACAGGCAGCCAGTGAAGTGAAGCCAGGACAGGGGTCACATGTTCCCTCTTTCGAGTTCCTGTTAAAAGTCGTGCAGCAGCATTCTGAACCAGCTGCAGACGTGAGAGCAGCAACTGACTGACTCCCAGATAAAGTGCATTACAGTAATCCAATCGAGTCGAAATAAAGGCGTGGATCACCATTTCAAAATGCTGCCTGGAGAGAAAAGACTTCACTGACGCCAATCGCCTTAAATGATAAAAACTGGACTTAACCACGGCTTTGATTTGACTGTCCAATTTAAAATCACTGTCCACCTTAAAACCAAGATCTGTAATAACAGGTTTAAAATATTTCTCCAAGGGTCCCAGGTTAATAGAGGAGGACTCACAGGAGCCACTGGGTCCAAACACCATCACCTCGGTTTTGTTTTCATTAAAATTTAAAAAGTTCAAGGCCAACCAAGCTTTAATATCTCCTAGACATTCCAGGAGATGTGTGAACGTATGTCCATCCTTCTGCTTTAGGGGTAAATAAATCTGACAATCATCAGCGTAACAATGGAATGAAATCCCATGTTTCCTAAGGATAGAACCAGAGGCAGTAAGTACAACGAGAAGAGCATAGGGCCCAGAATTGAGCCCTGCGGGACACCATATTGCATTGGAACTGAAGATGATTCAGAGTCATTAATTTTCACTGAAAATGTTCTCTCCTCCAAGTAAGACTTAAACCATTTAAGAACAGTGCCATCAATACCAACAATATGTCGTAATCGCGATATTAAAATGTTGTGGTCCACTGTATCAAAAGCAGCAGTTAGGTCAAGTAAAATCAGAACAACATGATTACCAGAAGCACAATCAAGAAGGATATCGTTAAAAACTCTAATTAAAGCAGATTCTGTACTGTGGAGAGTTTTAAAACCTGACTGGAAAACCTCCAGAATGCCATTGTCATTTAAAAACTGTGTCAGCTGACAGTATACAAGTTTCTCTAAAACCTTAGAAAGAAAAGGCAGCTTTGAAATAGGCCGATAATTAGCCAGAACAGTTGGATCAAGGCCAGGTTTTTTAAGCAGGGGCTGCACCACTGCATGTTTAAAACTAGCAGGGACCACACCTAAGGACAGACTGCCATTTAAAATTGCAAGAACAGGCAGCCCTATACTAGATAAAATATCTTTAAAAAGTCGTGGAGGGACAGGATCACGTGGGGAACCTGATGGCTTAATGCGGCCAACTACGTCCTCTAAAAGTGAAACAGTCACAAGCTCAAACTGATTAAAAACAGCAGAGCAAGGGACTGAAACTGAGGGGTCAGAGTCAGGAGCTGTAATAAGAGCCCTGGTACTACCAACCTTTTCAATAAAGAAACGCAAAAAATTTTCACACATGCCAGGAGAAGCTTCCAAACAGGCATTTTGTGGAATATTAAGCACAGAGTCAATGGTGTCAAATAAAACACGTGGGTTATGGCTGTTTGAAGAAATAACACTAGCCAAATATTCCCTTTTTGCTTCTTTAACCGTGCTCTGGTAGAGACGCCAACAGTCTTTTAAAATCTGAAAAGTAGCCTGCAGTTTGTCCTTTTTCCATCTGCGTTCAATACGACGACATTCCTTCCTTACAGCACGAGTTCTGTCATTAAACCAAGGCTCAGGTTTAATCCTTGGCTGCCTAGTTTTTAACGGAGCAACCGAGTCCAGGATGGTCTGACAGGAAGAACAGCACCATGACCAGAGCTCTTCTGTATTGGAGTGGAGGAAGTCAGATGATCCACAGAGCTGAAGAAAAGCAGCAGAGAACTGAGTGGCAGTGGAAGGGTTAATAATCCGACAGCGCCGAACAGCAGCGCGAGTTTTAACTGTAGTAGGTGTCAAAGTGACACTGAATAAAACAGGCAGGTGATCCGAGAACACAGCGTCACAGATTTCCAGATTAGTCACTGGCAGACCACAGGAAATAACCAGGTCCAATGTGTGTCCATGTTCATGTGTCGGGCCGGATACGGCCTG